CGATTACTCTTTCACACAGATCTACCTCTGGGATGCAGAGTCAAAAACATTTCACAAGTTCAAGGACATTTACGTGCAGTCACCCCGGTCATTTACTGTGGTGACCACTGACCGAAGGAGTTTTATTTTCTCCTCCAGCTTCAAAGGGAAATCGATGGTCTTTGAGCATATATTTGTAGATTTAAGCTTATAATAACTACAAAAGCAGTACTGATCAAAATATACAGTGCTTAAAAGAAATTATGAGACCATTGTAAATGCTGGCGGATTAACCTTGCAGAAACATTTAAAAATGACTTGGCAATTACCAGTACTGATAATTTAGGACAGCTGTGGGATGAACCTCATGGTGGTGGTCAAATAAATTTGTTAAGTACTGCATGTTGGTTAGTCGCTTCATAATGAGTGTATGCTGTCAAAGAAGTGTCAAATGCTGTGTATTGTACTTATGCAACTAGATTTATCGTTCTTGGTTTGAAACTAAATTTAATCAAGTTTTCTGCAAATAATGTGATATGGATTCAGAAAATTATGAAGGCTAGGTTAATGTTAGACCAAAGTAACTAAAGGCTGACAGAAATATAATATGACAATGCAACTGCATTAAGAAAATGTTATGGCAATACCAATACATCCTTAAAAAGGCTTGGCTTTTATCATAATTCTGTCAAGCCAACAAGCCAGACACTGTCCACACTAGCCAAAGATATCACAGACTATTACCCTCCTGCCCTACACAGGAAGTTAGTGAGAAGCGTGACCATTTACACCCTACAGCTGATGGTGTAGCTGTGCAAGCAAAACAAACTTTGTATGTCACGTCAAAATGAACACTGGCAGAAGCAAATCATGTTGTATGGTGTTGTATACTCTGTTTAATTTGCCACGTCTGAAGGAAAAAATGACCACCGTTATCGACATTGGTATTGCACAGATGTCACGGTTTTTGTAGTTTCAAAAAATTACAAAAACTGTGACATGTAGCCCTCAAAATTTTGGTATTTGAAAAAAGTGTGCATTTTTGAGGGTTTACGCTTGGAAGTAAAATGCTGAATGTTAGTCAGAAAGTCATGGGGAGTAAAAAAATGGACACTTTCTCTGAGAAGCCATCAAAAATTTTGAAGCCATTTCATTGCAGTAAGTGTTATGACTGCAAAGATAAAAGTGCATGATGCACAGTTTTCTTCCTTACCTGAAAACAGAATATCCATCCATCCATCTTCTTCCGCTTTATCCGGGGCCGAGTCGCGGGGGCAGCAGCCTAAGCAGAGAAGCCCAGACCTTCCTCTCCCCAGCCACCTCCTCCATCTTATCCGGGGGAACACCAAGGTGTTCCCAGGCCAGCCGAGAGATATAATCTCTCCAACGTGTCCTGGGTTTGCCCCGGGGCCTCCTCCCGGTGGGACATGCACGGAACACCAACCCCAGGAGGCGCCCAGGAGGCATCCTTTTCAGATGCCCGAACCACCTCAGCTGGCTCCTTTCGATGTGGAGCAGCAGCGGCTCTACTCTGAGCCCCTCCCGGATGGCCGAACTTCTCACCCTATCTCTAAGGGAGAGGCCAGCCACCCTTTGGAGGAAGCTCATTTCCGCCGCTTGTATCCGCGATCTCATTCTTTCGGTCACTACCCACAGCTCGTGGCCATAGTTGAGGGTAGGGACGTAGATCAACCGGTAAATTGAGAGCTTCGCTTTTACACTCAGCTCCCTCTTCACCACGACGGACCGGTGCAGCGTCCGCATCACTGCAGCCGCCGCACCAATCCGTCTGTCGATCTCCGGCTCCCTTCTCCCATCACTCGCGAACAAGACCCTGAGATACTTGTACTCCTCCACTTGGGGCAGGAACTCATCCCCGACCCGGAGTGGGCACTCCACCCTTTTCCGGCTGAGAACCATGGCCTCAGATTTGGAGGTGCTGATCCTCATTCCCGCTGCTTAACACTCGGCTGCGAACCGTTCCAGTGCGAGCTGGAGGCCCTCACCCGATGAAGCCAACAGAACCACATCATCCGCGAAAAGCAGAGATGAGATTTTGAGGCCACCAAAGTGAAAGCCCTCCGCCACTTGGCTGTGCCTAGAAATCCTGTCCATAAAAATTATGAACAGAACCGGAGACAAAGGGCAGCCCTGGCGGAGCCCATCACCCACCGGGAACGAGTCCGACTTATTGCCGGCAATGCAAACCAAGCTCTTGCCACGGTTATATAGGGATCGAATGGCCCGTAGCAATGGGCCAGACACCCCATACTCCCGCAACACCTCCCACAGGACACCCCGAGGGACACGGTCGAATGCCTTCTCCAAGTCCACAAAACACATGTAGACTGGTTGGGCAAACTCCCATGCACCCTCAAGTATCCTCGAGAGGATAAAGAGCTGGTCCAGTGTTCCGCGACCAGGACGAAAACCGCATTGTTCCTCCTGTATCCAAGGTTCGACTAGCGGACGAACTCTCCTTTCCAGCACCCTGGCATAGACTTTCCCAGGGAGGCTGAGGAGTTTGATCCCCTTGTAGTTGGAACACACCCTCCGGTCCCCTTTCTTAAAGATGGGGACCACCACCCCGGTCTGCCAGTCCACAGGTACTGCCCCTGATCTCCACGCAACATTGTAGAGGCGTGTCAACCAGGACAGCCCTACAACGTCCAGAGTTTTCAGGAACTCGGGGCAGACCTCATCAACACCAGGGGCTCTGCCACCAAGGAGTTGTTTAACTGCCTCAGTGAGCTCGCCCCCGGAAATTGGCGGGTCATCCCCCTCATCCCCAGACTCTGCTTCCTCCTCGGAAGACGTGTTAGTGGGATTAAGGAGTTCCTCGAAGTATTCCTTCCACCGCCTGACAATTTTCTCAGTCGAAGTCAGCAGCGCTCCGCCAGCACTATACACAATGCAGGTAGAGCACCGCTTTCCCCTCCTGAGACGCCTGACGGTTTGCCAGAATCTCTTTGAGGCAGTCCGAAAGTCTTTTTCCATGGCTTCTCCGAACTCCTCCCACACCCGAGTTTATGCTTCAGCCACTGCCTGAGCCGCATTCCGCTTGGCCTGTCGGTACCTGTCAGCTGCCTCTGAAGTCCCACAGGCTAACCAAGCCTGATAGGACTCCTTCTTCAGCCTGGTGGCTCCCTTCACCTCTGGTGTCCACCATTTGGTTTGGGGATTACCACCACGACAGGGACCAACCACCTTGCTGCCACAGCTCAATGCAGCATCTTCGGCAATGGAGATGCTGAACAATGTCCCCAGTCTCCCTCGGAATGCTGTCGGCTTGCTGCCGGTACGTTGGGGTATGTTGAGGGGAGATTAGATCTAATCTACCCTCGGCTTGAAAACAGAATATTACTAGCTTTAACCTAACTCCACTAGATTTATATCAAACTACTTTATGGCCATGCTACTGAGTGCCTATTTAATAGCAACATAACATACATTATTTAGTTTTGATTCCTATGCAAAATGTATGATACTAAGTGTTAATATGGAATAATAACCATAATGTCTATTGTGTGCTACTATGTACCTTTAAAGCCTTTGTAGGAGGCCTTTTCATTCAGTCAAAAAACAAGCGTTCCCTTTTCTTTACAGAACGTTTGATATTTGTCATATATTGTAAAGATTTTTTTTCACACATTAAACAATATTGGAGCCTGATTTTTGAAAATTGACAGTTAGATAAAAATGACAAAATGCCAACTAGTATAATCAATGTGTTTTGATAGCTTTGATAACAAGTTTCTCCTTTAATTATTCCTAATGCACTACCAACAGTGATGTATACATATTTTTTCCCACGTCATTAAAAAGTAATGCTGAAAAATAATCATGTTTTTCAGATCTTGAATCCCATGTAAGAACAGTTTGTGGAAATGGATTAAAGAACATTTAACCACACGTGTTGTATTAAATTGTTTTTCCATCATGTTTTGCTGATGTAAACATGAAACCATTAAAGTAAAGATAAAGTGTTGCAGACAGCATGTCTTAAACTGAATGTACTGTCCGTGTTTTTTGATTAGCATAAGGACAAAGACAGAATCTCATGTTTTGTTGATTTTAGGAAACAAGAAGATGGATAAAGTATTGTGATAGTGTGGGACAGTTTTCCCTAGTAGTAGTGATTATGGTTCCTTTTATAACCCTGACTTAAATTGCTCGCCACTTGTCTACAGCATGCCATCAACTGTATAAATGATTATTCACTGACCAATCTTAGGGGTTTGTGCTTTACACAAGAGCATCATAAATACAACTTCAAGCCAAAAAAAAGGGGAAAACTCACACCAAACAACCATATAACAACAACAGCACTAGTATAAAAAGGTTTAAGGTTTAGTCACATTTGACAAAGAAAAAGAAAAAGTAATTTAAAGGTTTTCCACGGTAAATCACATCAGGCTCAAAAATACTGTTTATTTGACCTGTATGGTAGAATTTTGGGACACAGGAAGCTCAAATGGCTATTGCATATTTATTCAGTTCAACAGTGCAGTTAGTTTTAGTCTTACAGCATCACCATCATCATAATCATTATCATCAACAACAACAACAATAATACTTTAATCTTGACGACATCTGATAAAATGTCATATTTTGAAATAAAATATAGAGATCAGCTGTATGCTGACAGCGTTAATGCCTGCCTTCGTTTTAATAAAGTTAAACCATCTTATTTTCATGATTTGGCACTAGTTAAGCTATAAAAAAACAAACAAACAAAACAGAGAAACAAGTATTTTTACCCCAATTCTTATTGACTATTTTACAAATAGAGGGACATTTATTGCCTAATACAGGGGTGGGCAATTCCAGGTCCCGAGGGCCGGTGTCCTGCAGGTTTCAGATCTCACCTTGGGTCAACTCACCTGAATCACATGATTAGTTCGTTTCCAGGCCTCTGGAGAACTTCAGGACATGTTGAGGAGCTAATTTAGCCATTTAAATCAGCTGTGTTGGTTCGAGGACACATCTAAAACCTGCAGGGACACCGGCCCTCGGGGCCTGGAATTGCCCACCCCTGGCCTAATACATCATTTGTCACGCTCTCTTACTTGTGTAGGGGTGATTACTATAATAAACACACACAACAGCTCAGCTGTTAGGCATCTCGTTCCGTTTTGGTTATTTTGTTTTAGTCTCTTTCTGTTTTACGAGGTTCTGTAAATGCGACGTGACGCTTTTCTGACGTCGAGACGGACGGAAGTGATGCAAATCGCGTTTCTCGATCGCTTTAATCGGGTTTGACTCTGATTTCTGCAGATGCAGAGGGGTGATGCTTCTGTGAAACTCACTGTGCTTGGGTAACCTTTGTTCCGCCGCAGGACGCGATGGATCCGTCCAGGAGGAGCGAAAGTGACTGGCAGGGGCTGGTCAGTGAGGTGAGACTGCGAAGACGCAGAAAGGACGAGAATGAGGAAAGAGCGTAAAAAACCTTCACTGACGCACAATAATTGTGGGACAGGTGTCCTGACCGGCTAAAATACTGTGGCGTACATGATCGTTTCACTGTTTTAGTTCTGTCTGCTGTCGCTTGTTCGGATCCACTGAAACACTTGTGTCCAAATTAATCCGAGCTCACGGGATTAAATCTCAGCTGCTGTGGTTTCTCTTACCTGCAAGGACTGCACATGTATGAGGAAGACGATTTGAGTTTCCTTGTGCCTGCTGAGCCCGTTGCCTTGAAAAGTTACTGACTTGCACCACACTGCGAGTTGCAGCTTTAATGAAGAAACACGTTCAGATGGCTGCATATCAACGCGTTTGCTCGAGTATTTCACTTGAGTGCAGTCAGTGTTGAACTGCTTTGCATTTAAGCTACTGGAGTAGTTTTATCCTAGTCTATGCTTCATGCTACTATTTTTGTCCACAGCTTTGGTTGTGCAATACTTTGCAGACATACACTCATTAGCCACTTTATTAGATACACCCTGCACTGGGTTGAACCCCTTTCCTTTCAGAAGTGCCTTAATTCTTCATGACATTAATTCGACAGAGTACTGGAAACATTTTGGTCCATATTTACATGCTAGCATCACACATCCATGATGTAAAGCTCCTGTCCCACCATCTCTCTCTATTTGACTTAAATCCGGTGAATGTGGAGGCCATTTGAGTACAGTGAACCCCTGCTCAAGAAACTAGTTTTCACAAAGGGTCAGAGGGCATTGTAGCCTCGGTTTCCTGTTCATAGTTGACAGGAGTAGCACCCTGTGTGGTCTTCTGTGGCTGTAGCCCATCTGCTTCAAGATCTCATGTATTGTGCATTCAGAGATGCTCTTCTGCTTTTGAAAATGTTTAACCAATACATCAGATGGACAAGCAGTTAAAATAACAAGGAGCTGCAACGCAAACCGTTGGTATTTTTTTTACCATCAGAAAACGTTTTTGTGCCACTATAGTAGTGTATATATGTGGGTTGTTTTGTTTGTTTGTTTTTCTTTTACATGTTTCACAGTGCATTTGGTCTTTAATGATGACCAGAGAACTCTTTAGCCCTCAAATAATCAAATAACGTTATATTGACTACATGCCAGAAGCTTTTGTTTTTCCTCAAAACCTTGCTTTCTCTGCAGTTCCTGGTTTGTAAGCGGAAGTTGGAGAGTAAGAAAGAAGCTCTTCTGATTCTGTCTAAAGAGCTGGACACCTGTCAGCAGGAGAGGGATCAGTACGAACTGATGGCCAACCAGCTCCGTGAGCGACACCAGGGACTCAAGAAGAAGTACAGAGAGCTCATTGTAAGCTGATCTGACTCCGTTTTAAAAGCTGCATCAGAGCAGAGGATAAAAACTACTGCTATTAAACTTTGTGGCATCTAATGACAACTTCCTTTGTCTTTGTGTCACTGACAGGATGGAGATCCTTCTCTGCCTCCAGAGAAAAGGAATCAAGTAAGAGATTTAAAAATGCTAATCACTGCACGCAGAACTGTCTTAACTGTACTTTGATACACTGGCATTTCACAGTGATGCTGGAGACTTTCAGCAAAGTCAGTAATGTGGTCACAAGTTGGAGATCTCTTTGGATGGGATGCTTAACACTTTACTACTAATATTTACTCCTAACTATTAACATCTCTACGGCGCTCTTTGTTTGCCAATTACAGCAGCTTTATCTTAGAATAATACATCAGATCTTTGCCTGTCTATTTGTCCACAAACTTCTCATCCGTATCTGATGTTAAGATCTCATCATGCTTCTTAGCATGAAGTGCCAACATCCTAAAATGATCCATTTTTATCTATGTTCCTCTAAAACTTTATAAAGTCATTGTATCGTTTTATTTTTACGATGGTAACGTCTGGTTTATATCAACAAAAGTTGAGTTTTGTATTATATATTTATCGCGTTACCTAGAAACCACTTAGCAACAAGCTCAAATCACCCAGTTTTAGTGTTTATGCGCCTACAGTACAGCACCTTCTAATGGGATGGTATCATTTTCATTTCACAGTCAACAGCATGAACGGCCCAAACAGTGCTGTAGCATGGGTGTGTACTACTTATCATAATGTGTCATAGCATGACACACACAATGTTCTCACAAGTTGCTCTCTGATATAAAACTGTTGGTTAATGACACAGTAACAAAGTCACCACTGAATGAATCACAGATTTTAAAAAAAAAAAAATGTAATGACGATTTTATTTTTATGATGCATTTGTTTGCATTCAAACTCAGTGTGCTTAAGATCAACAATAAAAACTGAAAAAACAAGAAGAACAAGAAAATAAAACCTTAAAAGAATTTAACCTGTTTTCTCTCAAAGATCACACAGAAGAAGAAAAAGATTTGGGAAACATATTTAACCACAATTTCTTTCTTTTCTTTTCTTTTTTTAAAGAATTTTACGTTTGCTTGTTTGAACCTAATGTTTCAAATTGGAATGATAGAAGCTCATTTTTTTCAAGTACATTATCTGTCGGGCGCTGTACCTGGAAGACTTCTATTCTATATATATATTCACAAACCAACTTGACAAATGGGGCTAACATGTCTCTGTATTTACTTCATGATCAGGTGAATTTAGCCCAGCTACTGACAGACTCCAGAGAGCGAAACTCTCATCTGTCCGAGGAGGTGAAGGAGCTGAAACAGCGACTACTGGAAGCTCAGGGTGATAACAAGGTATGTTTCTAATGTATATTTGCTGAATCTTTGCCTCTCATTATTCATAAATACATTTCCAACATACCTTTGTACACTTATTTGTCAGTCTAAGTAACGATCAAGTGGATGAGCCTTGTTTATTTTAAGGACAGGTTTCAAATTATACTGTACAAACACACCAAAGGTGTATAATTGTAGCTTAGTTGAGACTTTTCTTACTTTGTGCTATCACAGCTTCTACGGATGACCATCACCAAACAGAGGCTGGGAGACGAAGAGGTCGGCGCCCGACACTTTCCCGCGCATGAGCGAGAAGATCTGGTCAAACAGTTAGAAAGGGCGAGAGAGCAGGTGAGAGCCCCCTGCTTGATTTTGACTATTCAGCTGATATTCACATAATGGTTCACTTTTTTATGATTTACATTTATTATATACATTATATACTGCCATTTAATAGTTCTAATTGGTTCTTGCATTAGAAAAAGAAAGTTTATATTTATTTATATTTTATTTGTAAGTATTTTTTTTAAATTTATTTTAAAAGCAACCACATGAACCCTATTTCCATTTCAGCAAACCCAGTGTTTTCACCCTTAGCTGTCACAAGGTCACCATATCAGTATCAGATGAATATGATTTAAAAAGTATGATAGTTTAAAATATCACATGAGAAATAAAAGTGTTGTGCAGGGAAAAAAATGGAAGCGATTAGCAGTTTTCTTTAAATGTAGGTGAATATTAAAGCTGCTAACACTGGTGGCAATTAGATTTCTTTAAGCTGTGACACTTATTAGATGCTGTGCAGCGAGGTTGCATATCCCTTTCTGTCAACCAGTAATTATACTTTAGATAGATGTAAATATATGTCAAGCACAACATGTACATTTCATCCAAATTGGATTGAATCTGTCCCTTAGGTCAGATTTCCTGTTGCCAGAAGGTGGAAGGTGGCGCTAGGATTATAACCGAATATTTGCTTGCAGACCTCTTCTCTTAGCAGTAACGTAAAGCTTGGGGGAGATCCGATGATGTTCGTCTGAGTTATAGATGAAATGGCTGACAAACTATCAAAATTCACATTATTTAGCATTTTGATTAAACTGACCAAATAAAAAGCCAGTTTGATTCTGAAGGATCGGCATTATTTAGTGTACAACTGTAAATGGGGGGGGAAAGAGAACACAAAAATGCAGGAACGGGGTGCTAGTAAAGCTTTTATGCATAGCCACAAGTGTCATCAACTTTAAGCAATTCTGCTGGTTGTTCAAAGTTTAATTTGTTTTTTGAGTACGTCAAATCCCTCAACAATGGATTAATTTCAGGAAATAATACCGGTAATAAAATTTGGAGTTTCAAGGAGGTCCTCGCATTAGTTAGTTCCACTTTTAATGAGAAGATGATATATATTTGACAAGAAGAGACTTGTATTGCTAGATAAAATTGTCCTACATCTTGAATCTTGTTTGGGTGCAGAACGAGGTGCTGGAGAACAGCGTGAAGTCGCTCACGGATGAGCTGCAGGATGTTCGAGCAGAGCGGGACGTGTTTCAACAGAAGGCTCATCGTCTCAATGTGGAGATGAACCACATTGTAGGGAATGATGATGTCCGCATCTTAGACATCGACGCGCTCTGCATGGAGAACAGGTTTGTTGCTCTTTTAAAAAGGTCATTTTAAGTAGTACCTCTGTGATTGGCTGGCATGTTGAAGCAGTGATTTTCAAAAGTCTATTCATGTACACGTGCTGTCTTGCAATATATAGTTACATACACTGATCAGACATAACATTATGACCACTGACAGATCAACTGAACAAGACTAATTATCTCTTCATCGTGGTACCTGTTAGTGAGTGGGACGTATTAGAAAGCAAGTGAACATTTTGTCCACAGAGTTGATGTGTTGGAAGTAGGAAAAATACGCAAGCATAAGGATAGTTCAGGCTCTGGCCTCTTTCACCAGGATGATGCACCCTGACACAAAAGCAAAAATAGTTCAGGAATGGTTTGAGGATCACAACAACAAGTTTAAAGTGTTGACTTGGTCTCCATATTCCCCCAGATCTCAATCCAATCAAGCATCTGTGGGTTGTGCTGGACAAATAATGAGTCTAGGGACAAATGGGGTCATAATGCTGTGCTTGATCTATATATACAGAATTTAGATAAAGATTTACTGAGAAATTCTTCTCTACTGTTGAAACAGGTTAAACTGAACAGCATTTGTGATTTCTGACATTTCAGGTATTTGCATGAGCGACTTAATCAACTTCAAGAAGAGGTCAACTTGCTCAAGACAAATCTGCTGAAGTACAAGGTAGTTGTAGTTTTTTTTCTGTAATTTCATATATATTTATTGTATGTTATCCTTTTTTTTTAAACTCTTTCTTTTCTCCAAACTGTTTCCTGCTGATGTCAGAGTGCCCTGGAGTGTAGGAAGACCTCTAAAATCAGTGGAAAGCCCAACAGCAGTGCTCTGACTGGGGTGCTTTCTGCTAAACAAGGTCAGAGGAATCATGCTAGTTCAAACATCTACACTTTCTATTATGCACATATTACCCTTTAAATGTGTGAGTTCAGTTTTATTCAGTGTCTCGTGGGAAATGATGACTGCTGTTTCTTTTAACCGTGGCTCGTGACGTGCTTGCAGTGAAGGAACTGCTGCTGTCTGAAGAAAACGGCTGCAGTTTGCCGGTGACTCCTCAGTCCATCTCAGACCTCAAATCTCTCGCCACAGCCCTGCTGGAAACCATCCACGAGAAAAACATGGTGATTCAGCACCAGCGCCAAATCAACAAGTACTAAAATTCAGACTTCACTCGCACTCTTATTATGTGCTCCATAGATCACGGGTGTCAAACTGCATTATAAATAAATGCTCCTGTAGTAAATGAAAGAAATCTGTTAGCATGAGTTGGTGGACTTAAATTGTAAGAAATAAATGTGTAAAATTACAGAAAAGGCTCTGGCGTGCCGTTGCCCAGACTGTTCTGCAGAACATTTTTGTTAAGTCACAGAAAACTTTTTGTTTTGTTCTTAGTATAAATGGCCTTGGAGTCTTTGCTATTAATAAAGCCTGCAAAATTTATGAAAATGAAGTTAATAGTTCATAATGTATGCCCTCCTTCACATTTTCCAAGACTGCCAGGCTGATTCTGCCCCCTAGGCCTTTTATTTGACACCCCAGCTGTAGATTTTTAGCCACTTCACTTCTTGATGTAATGATGGGTCAACTGCAATATCCTTTTTTTTTTTCCCCCATTAGGATTCTTGGAAATCGCGTAGCCGAGCTGGAGAAGAAACTAAAAACACTGGAGATGTCCGGATTATGGAGCCTTCCAGGTTATTATAATTGTCTCAATATACTGAGACATGTGCATATCACTCTAACCTGTGCTAAGAATACTGTTTTTACAATAATTCCTCTTCCTTTTTCTGCCCTTTTGCTTCTTGCAACCTGGAGGCCTGACTTATAATGTGTCTCTGGGAATATGCGGAAGTATGTTTCTCCAAAAACGATGTCATCTACGTCATAAACGCTCAACTTAATCTTCTTCTCATATCCACCAACACTTCTTATCGCTATCTAATCCAACCTTTTTTTAAGTAGCTGTTTATGTGAACCACTTTTCTGAAAGCTTACTTTGACTGTTTTGTGATAACAGGGGGAAGAGACGCCATCATCCTGAACACGCAGCTAGTGGATTCGACCGATCCATCTGATTCTCCGGGACAGAACGGTGATTATTCAGTGGAGTTATTCCTCTCTTGGTCAACAGCAGTTAAAATAGGAGCTGCATTTCTTGAATGTTATTTTTCTGATTTTTTCTTAAAGATGACAAAAGGTCAAACAAACCAGCTGAGCACGAGAGCTCTCCAGAAGACAGTGTAACACCAGCTGCGTCAGATTTTCAAGATGACGCACCAACACCATCATCGTGTGTCGAGGCCTCGAACCAAAACTGCTCACCACAGTTGGATGAGCAAGAGTCCTCAAGGCCTCAAACAGAAATGCCAGCTAGTGAGGAGTGCCAGGAAAGTGGCCAATCACAAAGCACTGCAGTTTTTACCAGGTTTGCAACAGAAGAGGGTCTGAGTGACTCCAGTGCTGATGTGAAATACTTGAACAGACCTGATCCCTCAGACCCCGGCCACTCACAGCAACTCTCAGAGAACTCAGTCCCAACAGCTGGAGGAGAGGAGGAGTCAGATGAATGCACTGTAGGGGGGGAAAGTGTTGAAACAGAGTGTAATGTAATAGAGAGAAATAGTCACGTTACATCATCTACTACTGTGTCTACTGCAGCCTCCGAAGAGCAGCAGGAGGACGTCCTGACTACCGCGGATGTTTGCAGTAGTCAGGAGGAGTTGTGATGTCGCACAGCATTAGGAAAAAACCAAAACTAATTAAAGTATTTACAAAATCCATAAAGCTCTTTAATTATTTTTTAAATAATTCAAAAATCAAAAAAACTGATAAACGAATCTTTGGAAAACAGCATATTAGATTTCAGATGAGTGTGAATGAATCAACAGTGACTCCTACCAAACTGAAGAGTATTAACGATACTCTTCAGATGCTCTATTGTATCTCTGCTTTCACTCGGTGCATTGTCTGAGTTCTGCACCACCTTTTGAACTGATGTCAATGTGACCTAAAGTAACTGGACACCGGTGATTTGTCATCCCCAAACCATACTCGCAGGAGTAACAATATTCGCTCCTGTGAGAGTTTCTCTGAGAGTTTTAAAACGTTCATTCATTCACTCGCACGTTTCATGTAGTCTGCATATCTAATGTGGCAAAACAGTGATTTCTCTTTATTAACACCAGAAAAGATGCATGCATCAGTGCTGTATGTGTTATACTTAAAGGTTTCTTTCTGCTTTTTGAAGGTAACATTTACAGAGTTGTCTGCTTTAGGCGTATGAATTCTTTTCCTTATTAAATCACATAATAAAAAGGAGTTAATGATGATCTTTTAAATGACCTTTGTTAGGTCATGAACCGGCTCCTTACTGTCAAGAATTCAGCCCTGGCATGATTTAATTCAGTCACCACGAGGATAAAAGCAATTTGACAAAGATGACAGGAAGCACTGTGTGCTTGTTCTAAATACGATGTGCCCAACGTGAACCAAACACAAACAGACCTTCTGCTTTACTTAACATTCGCAGCGTATAATCAGCAAAGCCGCATATGACAACGCTATGAGTTCATGAGACCGTATGATGATGTGATATGTCAACAATGTGTAAAAGCTAACAAATGGTTAACATTCAGAGACTACATGTTCTAGTAGTGCTCATCACATCAAATATTACGAAACGGTCAGATAATGTACAGAACAAGCAATATGTTATCAGAAAGTATAATAAAAAAATGTGGTTATGATCTGAGAGGAGAGCTAAAAAAGAAAAAAATAGGGTGAACAACAAAGAAGAGCTGGTTCAAATTAACCTGTGCAGTGAATTTGTGGAATAATATGGAGAAGGGTTTTGAAAATGTGCACAAATATAAATCAGTCTTAAGAAATTATACATGGAAAAAAAAAACCACTTATAAATCAGTATATGGAAGCAGAGTATTAAATATTAAACTCTGCATGGATATTTGGGTTGAACACTGTGAGGTGATATGATGGTTATACTGTGCATAAAGATATAAAAATATTTTTAGATTGTTGTATAGGTACATTTATTTATAGATACAGGTATATATTATGCTCTCTAACCAAAAACAGACATATGATTTAAACAGGAAGTAGGAATTGGAAAGCATTTGCTTCCTTCTACTCCTTTTCGAACAGGAAATGGTCAGTATTTTATGGGGGATCAGTCTGTGGAGTTTATTTAATATAATGGCTTCTTTATTTCATACCCATTTTTTAATATTTATTAACATTTGTTACTTATATGTTGGAAATAAAGATTTCATTCCTTTTATTCATTCAAATATGAGATGAGAGAGATGATGAGATAGCCTTTATTTGTCAGTTGCAGGTCTTTTGCCCACAACCGAGATGACAGACCTTGCCGACCGTACATACAATACACAAACATCACATTGGGGAGACGGGTCAGGCTAGGTAGCGAGGAAAAAAAACATTGAAATGTGTAACACAAAAGGATAATACAGGAATGCACAGATATCAACACACCATGTGTTAAATGCTATACGACAGCATGCTACTGTGTAAATTAAGACAGTCTCGGTTGTTTCTTTTATCTGACCTAATTTATTGACAGACATTTGATAATTACAAGAGTCATTTCTCGAAGCTCCTCCTGAAATATAACACACTGACATCTTGATCTTATTTTTTTTTTTTATTAGAAAATTTGTACAAATTACCTTTTGTTTTTGACTTTAAAAACCATTGTATTTGTATGCATTTTTATGTATTCTGTATTTATTTATTTTTACACAAGACCACAGCTACGACTAACTAACTTCGAGCTACAAAGACAGCACAGCTGAGGCTGATGGTACTGAAATTTATTTCAATAATTTTGGTCACAACTTAAGGACCAGGATAAGCTGAGAGGTGAATCTGATGATGGAGCCAAAGGAAAAGCAGTCCAATCATATATTTGGTTTGTTGATACTCCAACCAACCAACTGTACCATTACTAATATTGAACACCATAATTATGCTAATTTGTAGTAAGAAAACTCTTGAACAATTATTAAAGCATGTTTCTAATACTTCTAAGAAGCTACTATGCATTTTGGCAGGATGTGGGTTTAACCACCTCGTTATTTTTTTTCTTGGTATCAAACTGGAAGTAGAGTATAGCACACTACTGTAGGTTAATTCCTCCTCAGCCGCCTGGAGTACTGCTTAAAGTTCATATTCCAGAGATTGGGGGACGAAACCCCAATAATACAGCATGCGAGCCTTCGGCCTGCGTTTCCATGCAGCAGGCTCCCAGCGTCTCCACCACGCCCTAAGTCGTCTATCTTTTCATGAATCACCACTGCTCTCCCAAACACAGACAGGCTTCCAAACAGTGTTGCATCAGATTCTAGCATTGTATTAATCTTCCCTTGCTGGGGCTCAAAGTTTCCAAAGTCTCCAGGGTGGTTAGGGTGATTTACACCATATGGATTGTAGTGGCCACCGGTGGAGTCACATCCCCGGCTCAGGTCTCCATACTGATGGATGTGCACCGCTCTGGGCTCCGGACTGCCGTCTCTGGGGAAGCCACTAAACCGGAGAAGGACCTTGACTTTCTCCTGAGGATGATCCTGCTTGAACAACACATGGCCGTACACTTTGGGCAGGTCCTCCGGGAGAGAGGTGCTGGGTCTCACCTTGCAGACTGCATACAGGGTGCCGTTGTTCTGCAAGACCTCTGGAGCCAATGTGTCGCTGGATGCTAAGACACATTGTTGACAGCCTGCCAGCAAAACCAACAAAGCAGCTTCCAGTATACCCACTGACCTGTAAGATATTAAAAAAAAAATTAGGACAAGACCCCTCTGGCATGAAGGACAATTAGTGACTATAGACCAATTAAGGCAATATCTAGATTGTTCACCTTGGTAAAAAAAAAAAAACGTCCTGCTATTGCATTTCACAATACAGCAGTACATTCAGAAATATTGTTATTGTTAAGAATCCACACTGGGGAAGCTATAATTATGTAATTATTATCGCTAACATGTTATGTAACTGCTAAAACTCAACTCTACACAGGGTTTAAACGAGCCTCTCTTATATCATAGAACAATTTTACATAATTTTTATTTACAATCTCCATCTGCATCTAGGTATAAGGTGTACTTTAATTTACATTAATGTAAAACTTCAGTGTTTCTAAGTCTGAGGACAAAGTGGCACTCAAAAGCTTCTCAGTTAATGTTTTTCTGACGATGTTTTTAGGCGCACACAACATCGCCCAAAAGTACAAGTGGTTAACTACAGACTAAATGTCGCAGGAATGCAAATAAAGTTAAGTACACAGTGCCAAACAAAGTCCACTTACGCGTATCGATGCATGGTCACCTGTAAAAGGCGCAGAAAAGGCTGTAAATTAAACGTAATGGTTTTCACAAGCCGAGCGCTGCAGGGTGAGGATGCAAAGCGTTTTCAAACAATGTTGTATAAACTCTTGTGAACAAATGGGCGTTGCTGTTTGGCGAGGGTGGAGCAAGGGACTTGACAAGTCTTTTGATGATTTGATGAGTAAATCTCGAAATATTCGACCCCGTTACATTACCGTTCAGTTTGTGGGTAACAACAGAAAATGAAATATTTTATTGTTCTCACGTGGTATCACACGGAGTCATTTTAACAAACCCAGGACGTTTTGCCTGATAAGAGCATAATCACGTCTGTGTAAACTCGATTCATAGAAACCTTAACGCTCAATGTACCACGTTCTCCAACCACGTTTGTCCGTGATTTGGGAGAGGGCGCAAACTGACAGGGTCAGCCTGATGTTGCTTGTGTCGCACTTGTGCCCATTATTATTATTATTATTATTATTATTATTATTATTATTATTATTATTATTATTTAAAATGAAAGGGCAGCACAGAGTCCTATGAAAAACTAAGTACATCTATTACTGCTCCCACAGGAATTAAGAGCAGCCAGATGTTCCTAATCAAATACACTTGATAGTCAATCGTCAGAAAGTGTGAGCACCTCCATAAAAGCCAGTTTGTTGGTCTGGAGCATTCAGGTGCCGCAGTCTTCCCAGGAGTGGATATCCCAGCAAATGTATACATAAGTTCATAAATGTATTAAGAATAAATAGCTAAATAAAACAAGAGCAGTTAGCATGTTAAATGTTTACATTCATGGCAATACAAATAGAAAAAGCCTGAACAAGTATGGCTTGTTTGGAAGGGTGTCAAGGACAAAGTGTCTTCTTTCCAGGAAAACCATGACAGCACAACTTAGGTTTACAAAGCTGAACAAATCACAACTCCTGTAGAACAATGTCCTTTGGACAGATTGGAGCAGAGTGGAGATGTTAGGCAATAATGCAAAGTGCCACATTTGGTGAAAACCAAACATAGCATATCAGCACAAACACTTCAGGGGTGATGAGGGGTGATGATTTGCAGTAGTTTGCAGCCACAGGGCCTGGGCACCTTGCAGTCAGTTGACCATAAAGTCCTCTGTATACCAAAGTATTCAGTAGTCAAATGTGAGCCCATCTTAGCCAAAAAACTGATCATGCAACAGGACAATGAATCCAAGGAGACCTGCAAATCTACAGCAGAATGTCTGACAAAGTAAAGAATCGTAGTGTTGCAATGGCCGGTGTGAGAGCTGTGCATGAACGCAAACCTCAATGAAATGAAGCACTCTGCAGAGTCGGCCATAATTCCTCCACAGTGATATATGACACTAGGACTTTATAGAACCCATGGGAAAACCTTTCATATGACTTTAAAGTAGAATAAAAAATATTTTTGATCTATGCTCAATCATCCAGGTAAGTAAATCTGTACTGTTTATAAGGTTTCAGTGGATGAGTGACAAAATGTTTCTCCCACTGAAAACGTTACATCCATATGAACACTAAAAATATATATATAATTTTGTTAACTGTAATAGATTAGGCCTAGAATTTTCCCCCAGTGACACACTACAAGCCCCTACCACCACTTCTAAAACATCTGTTTTCGTAATAATAAATAGATGTGCCGGATTTTCTGTGTGGTACGATTATCAAATTCATTGTTTAAGGACCAGTAGCTCAAACAAATGGGCAAAAAACGTGTTTTTATTTGCTTGTTTTTAATGTGCCAAATTTCTTTGAAATCCAATAGAAAATAAAAAGTATTATATGGTTATATGACTATATATAGAGCATTGATAATAAGTGAAAATCCATTTGAAAGAGATTGCCGTGGAAACACCAGTGAAGACTCCACAACAGTAGGTGGCGCTTGCTGAAATTGTGTTACACAAATACGAAAAGAAGAAAACACTTCGGTCGGAGAACTTGCAGCACAGGAATCAGGAAATATAACCTGCCGGGTAGACCTGTGCCCGCGTTAATTGTTTCACAGAAAGCCACATTTTACCTTTAAGATGTCAAAAAGACATCGTTTGGATTTGGGTGATGACTACTCCTCCAGCAAGAAGAGGTCCGACGGGTGAGTGAAGTCCC